TATAAATTTTTATAAGGCTGTGCAATAATGATTTCACTGTTCACCGGAATTCAAAAGTTACGATTTTGAAACGAAAGCTTAATATTTAAACTCATTTCCTAAAAAAGAAAAAAAAAAACTGTAAGGGTTTTGAAATAAATATTTTGAGTCATTATTTATCATGTCAAACTCTAACTTTCAAATTGCGTGTAATATCACACGTCCGAAATTGACTTGCCGTAAGGTCCATCTGTTCTTCAGTTATTTCGATAAGGCTGCATGTGATTTAAGTTTCATTTTAGCTTAACTGGTATTTTAATCCGCATTCGTGCTGAAATCAACTCTCGAAAATGTCCTAACCTTTGTAGCTCTTAATAAATTTTGTATTCTGATAGCTCTTCTAACAACTGTTCTGCCATCCATTTATTAAAGCTTACTAGGTACGTTATACGATTAGATTAATATAGCATCCCACGTATCAATAAGACTCAATCATTTATATATATATATATATATATATATATATATATATATATATATATATATTATTTTAGTCGACTACTATTTGGATTTCACCATGATTTCAACAATGAACTGAAATTTAATTAGTTAATAAATACATAATAATTATTTTAGACGTATAGAACATGACAGCCTGCGAGACCAGATTAAAAATATCAGGACTGGTGCTATTAAAAGGAAACTGCAAGGTATATTATTTCGGCATTTATCCAGCAACATTTCCGTTGATGAAAGCATTTCTGAGACACCTTTTTAGGATAGAGAGCATCTGCCTCGTCCTATCTCGGATTTTCAGAAGTCTTGAAATAGTTTTCCTTTCAATTGGGATTTGATTTTGGAAATATAAAAAAAATCGCAAGAACAATATGTGAGGAATATGATAATTATTGGACCCCGGAGAATGTTGGGCTTCCCTAAATCCTGCTGCACACGTTATGGACACTTTTGAAACTTTTGTGTTGAGGTGAGGCAACCACACTCTGCACACTTTCCTTCCAAGCACTGCTATAAACAAAAAAAGTCATCAAGAGCTTTCATAAATTAATGCGTTTAAGAAACTTATACTTCACATCAGGAAGAGGCAGTTGACATTTCTTCGGCACATAATGAGGAAGGAGGACTTGGAAAATCAATATGATGTTTTCCTTTCGTCTTTCAACGATAATGTGATTAAGCTTATCAGACAATATGAAAGGAACTTACTTAAAATAAATAGATAAAACATGTCTATATTATTTAATATTATTTAATGAAACATGGATTAATGAGAAATTGCTGGCAATATATATATATATATATATATATATATATATATATATATATATATATATATATATTATAAAGAAACTATTTATACAAAGAATTAAATAGCAATCATAATTTGTTTAATGGCGAAATCACTTCGCTAACAAGATTAAATGAAACAGTAACTTACTATCACTGAATAATAAGATACTTATTTTCGAGATGTTGTCAGATGGAAGACTCATTCTCAGTATTTTCGACAATTTCAAATTGTCACTTTCCGGACGCAATATTTCCAAACACAGGTAAACGCTAAGATGAAATATGTGTAGACTGCAAGATGTTTTTAGAAATTATGCTATTTATTAACAGTCAATATATATCATAGAAAAAAAAACATTTTAAAAACATGTCGTTTTCGTTTTTGATTGATTTCATCATGATTCTTCGCTTAAGATTGGGGAGTAATTATACATTCTTATTGTTCAAAGTAGAGTCCAGTAGTATCATAAAAAACAATTCGGAAAATTCCAGTAAGATATCTTTAATCATTTCTAAGATATAACTGTTCAGATCTTAATCTAACAGTTGGACAATTTTGCTGTTACACGATTTGAACAATTTTGGTTGATACAACCGGTATATAGCTATACAAAATAGTGGATTATCGACAGGACTCACATATACACCACACACCACAAAAAAAAGTCATCAGGAAAAAAAAACATCATATGGTTCAAAACAACTTACAACTTAAACGTAAATACGAACGTAAGAATCTGGGTTTTATACTCATACACAAACACATCACCGAATTAAACACTCTCTACAAAAAATACAGTAAAAACCAGTTACAATAGCAACGAGAATATGACATTAACAATAAAAAAGCACAAGCAAAAAACACCCCATCAAATCAAACAGTCTCTATAAAATATTAAAAAAATACAGTAAAAATCAGTTACAGTAGCAACGAGAATATGACATTAACAATAAAAAAGCACAATTAAAAACCCCCAAAACACTCCATCAAATCAAACACTCTCTATAAAATATTAAAAAATACAGTAAAAATCAGTTACAAAAGCCACGAGAATATGAAATTAAAAATAAAAAAGCACAAGCAAAAAAACAAACAAAAAACACCCCATCAAATCAAACAGTCTCTATAAAATATTAAAAAAATACAGTAAAAATCAGTTACAGTTGAAACGAGAATATGATATTAACAATAAAAAAGCACAAGTAAAAAACAAACAAAAACACTCCATCAAATCAAACAGTCTCTAAAAATATTAGAAAGATACTGTAAAAATCAATTACAGTAGCAACGACAATATGACATTAACAATAAAAAAGCACAAGCAAAAAAACAAACAAAAAAACACTCCATCAAATCAAACACTCTCTATAAAATATTAAAAAAAATACAGTAAAAATCAGTTACATTTGCAACGAGAATATGCCATTAACAATAAAAAAGCACAAGTAAAAAACAAAAAAACACTCCATCAAATCAAACACTCTCTATAAAATATTAAAAAATACAGTAAAAATCAGTTACATTAGCAACATGACATTAACAATAAAAAAGCACAAGTAAAAAACAAAAAAACACTCCATCAAATCAAACACTCTCTATAAAATATTAAAAAATACAGTAAAAATCAGTTACATTAGCAACATGACATTAACAATAAAAAAGCACAAGTAAAAAACAAAAAAAACACTCCATCAAATCAAACAGTCTATAAAATATTAAAAAATACAGTAAAAATCAGTTACATTAGCAACGAGAATATGACATGAACAATAAAAAAGCACAAGTAAAAAACAAAAAAAAACACTCCATCAAATCAAACAGTCTCTATAAAATATTAAAAAAATACAGTAAAAATCAGTTACATTAGCAACATGACATTAACAATAAAAAAGCACAAGTAAAAAACAAAAAAAACACTCCATCAAATCAAACAGTCTATAAAATATTAAAAAATACAGTAAAAATCAGTTACATTAGCAACGAGAATATGACATTAACAATAAAAAAGCACAAGTAAAAAACAAAAAGAAAACACCCCATCAAATCAAACAGTCTCTATAAAATATTAAAAAAATACAGTAAAAATCAGTTACGTTTGCAACGAGAATATGCCATTAACAATAAAAAAGCACAAGTAAAAACAAAAAAACACTCCATCAAATCAAACAGTCTCTATAAAATATTAAAAAAAATACAGTAAAAATCAGTTACATTAGCAACATGACATTAACAATAAAAAGCACAAAAAAAAAAACAAAAAAAACACTCCATCAAATCAAACAGTCTATAAAATATTAAAAAATACAGTAAAAAATCAGTTACATTAGCAAAAAAAATATGACATTAACAATAAAAAAGCACATGTAAAAAAAGTAAAAAACAAAAACACCCCATCAAATCAAACAGTCTCTATAAAATATTTAAAAAATACAGTAAAAATCAGTTACAGTAGCAACGAGAAAATGACATTAACAATAAAAAAAGCACAAGCAAAAACCAAACAAAACACTCCATCAAACCAAACACACGTGTACCTGCCGAATAAAGAACAGTTGTCCCTTAAAAGGCAATGGAGTTGGGATTAAAGAGTATCGGAATACAACAGAATGATAAGAACAAATAGGAAAAGAATGAAGCATCGTCAGAGATTGAGACATGGAAAAAAAGTAAGAAATTCTAGTATTTTTACTTTTGTGTTGTTTGCTGTTCATTGGTCAATCATGTATCATCTCTCAATGAATTCAGAAAGCGACAAATCATTCTAACCTTTGTTTTAAAGAATCGAATGCGCATGATACATGACTGACCAATGAAAATCAAAGAAGACAAAAGTAAAAATGTCTCATTTTCCTTCGTTTTATCCATATCGCAGTCTCTAACAAAGCTTTAAGAAAAGGGAAACATGTTAGATTGATAATCGTTTCTATTTGTTTTTATCTCATCATTCACACATACACACACACACACGCACGCGCGCATACACACATACACACGGTGGAGAGACGAGTTCGAATTACAGTCGAATCTATTACATTCACTTACGTGCTAATATCCTTGGGAAAGGTATGAATCCTCTTCTTCTCCCTCCAGCTATAGGTAAATAGCAGGACAGACTGGGTTCTATAGCCTTGGATGGCAACTGGTCTAGGAGAAGGACAACTCTGACTTCAAAACCTGCGGAGGGTCGTTTGTGCAACAGGTATTCGGCCCTTCAAAAGGTGTGGATGGTTCTGCACAAAGCTCTCACCGCTATAATCAAATCTCATGTGCTGGTATTTGGCTGTCGGTTCCTAGGAACTGAGCTGCTTGATCCTCATACGTCGAATACGAAGGGAGAGTCAAATATATACAAAATCGGAAAGATTGGTGTAACCAACAGACTACCCGTCAAAAACGCTAAAACAAAACAAAACATAATAAACAAGAAAGATCTTAGACAAGAATGTAATTTCTAAATTAAAAAAAAGGCCAAAATGTGAAGACCAAGACAAAAGTTAAATAACGGTGCTGAACACCTACACTATCAAGAAAGATCAACAAATCGCTTCACAGCGTCAACCCTCAACGAGGCACAGGTTGAGTCGTTTCTTAGTTTTCACGCTCTTGAGAACTTCGCTTTTCGAAGGCCTCGTTTGAATATTTACTATTGCCACCGAGATCTGCACCCGCGCTCGTCTCCACCAGGGCTCGCGCCATGGGCTTTCGTGGTCACCGGGCGCCTTCCTACTCGTCGCACTATTGGTTAGGCGCGCGCATCTGCGTTTGACTTCAGGAGCATGCGCCTCCGCACCGCGACGGTCAGGCATCGGCCCTTTGCTCCAGCACCATTCATTTCCGGGGCCGGTTGATTGTTACGTGAGATTTTGCAGACTCCTTAGCGGGTTCGGTTTTCCCTGGCCTCCGTTCTGCTGTCTATATCTACCGACATTCTTTCCGGGATCTCATGCGCGTCGCGACTATATATTAGGTTGGTGCAAAAATAATGTCGTTTTTTGACAAGTTGAACGTCAAAAACGACATTATTTTTGCACCAACCACCAATATATATATATATATATATATATATATATATATATATATATATATATATATATATTAACAAGCTTTATTTTCGATCCACCACTACTCTGGTAGTCCTGTTTTCGTTTTCATTTATTGCGCTCTTGCATTGCCCACACATTTGGCGATAAATATTTCATCACTTCCTAAGTTGCAACTGCTGAACGGTGATCAGGTTAAAATGTCCGTTCACTCACTTTTTTCTTCTTCTTCTTCTTCTTCTTCTTCTTCTTCTTCTTCTTTATTTCTTGTTTTTCCTCTTTCGAATAGTACTCTCTAGTAAACAACTTAATTACACACAAAAAAACATCCCAATACAGAAAAAAGCCTCCTCAAACAACTCCAATATATATATATATATATTATATATATATATATATATATATATATATATATATATATATTTTATAGCGATATAAACATGCCAACAAAAAACGATGTTTTTTTTTCTTCTGGATACAATCTTGAATACTTTCTCGCCGTGTGCAAAACAGTCCTTCGCCCCGACCACTTTTTACCTTCCTTATATTTGTTATCAGCTTTATTGAAAGCAACACATTGAACGACTTGTCTCTCACACCAGTTCAATCGCTTTAATGTAACTAAATACACAAGTGTCCAGCCCAGACGGTGTGATCAAATATATACACGCTCTTCATCTATTTCTTGCACACTCACAAACACACGCGTATCTAATGTCAAAAACAACAGCGTCGCCTCTTACAAAGTTTCTTTTCATTTCGTATGAAGCCATTTTTGTTGTCGACCATCTTTATTGGATAGCGTTGGCCTGTTATGGCATATGTCTGTGTTTCTGGTTTTTACTTGTTTGTTTTTTTACCGTGTTGTATTAGTTGTTTTTTTTTATTATTCATTACTTTTCCCGCCTTTTGTGGATTTTTTTTATTTTCCTCCTTGTCCATTGTTTCTCGCTTTTCTAACAGTCAGTAAGTCTAAGTTTTCTATATATATATATATATATATATATATATATATATATATATATTTACAAATAATTTTTGTTATTATTTTGGATCAGTTGACAGTTCTTGGACATCGATTGTTTGCTCCTTTTAACTGGTTTTACGCTTTTCTTTCGTTCCTTCCTTCCTTCATTAATTGATTTATTCAGTTTTTCTTTTTTCCTTCTTTTTTTCTTTCCTTTCAAAAATCTTTCTTGGTTTTAAGGCTTCCTCATTGGTTTCCTTTCATCTTTCTTTCATTCATCCTTTCTTTCTTTCTTTCTTTCTTTATTTATTTATTTATTTCCCCCTTCCTTCTTTCGACATCGTCTTTTGCGTTTGTCACTTTCTTTCTTCCTTCCTTTCTTTCGTTCCATCTTTCTTTCTTTCTTTGTCTATTTTCATCCTTTATTCGTTCTTTTCTTCATTTTATTGTCATTGTCACTTTCTTTCTCTTTTTTCTATTTTCTTTCTTTCTTTTTTCTTTCTTTCTTTCTTTCTTTGTTTGCTTTTCATCCTTTATTCATTCTTTTCTTCATTTTATTGTCATTGTCACTTTCTTTCTCTTTTTTCTATTTTCTTTCTTTCTTTTTTTTCTTTCTTTCTTCGTTTGCTTTTCATCCTTTATTCATTCTTTTCGACATTTTATTGTCATTGTCACTTTCTTTCTTTTTTTCTTTCTTTCTTTTTTTTTGGCTTTTCAACCTTTATTTATTCTTTTCTTCATTTTATTGTCATTGTCGCTTTCTCTCTTTTTCTATTTTCTTTCTTTCTTTTTTCTTTCTTTCTATTTTCTTTCTTTCTTTTTTCTTTCTTTCTTTTTTCTTTCTTTCTTTCTTTCTTTCTTTCTTTCTTTCTTTCTTTCTTTCTTTGCTTTACATGCATTGTTCATTCTTTTCTTCATTTTATTGTCATTGTCACTTTCTTTCTCTTTTTTCTATTTTCTTTCTTTCTTTTTTCTTTCTTTCTTTTTTCTTTCTTTCTTTTTTTCCTTTGCTTTTCTTCATTTAACTACTCTTTTCTTCATTTTATTGTCATTGTCACTTTCTTTCTCTTTTTTCTATTTTCTTTCTTTCTTTCTTCCTTTCTTTACTTTTCATCCTTTATTCATTCTTTTCTTCATTTTATTGTCATTCTCAATTTCTTTCTCTTTTTTCTATTTTCTTTCTTTGACATTTCTTTCTGCGGTTGGCCAGGTGTCAATCAAGGCTATAGAACCCATTCAGTCCTTCTATTTACCCATAGCTGGGGAGAGAAGAAGATTCATACCTTTCCCAGGCGTATTTGCACGTAAGTGAATGAAATGGTTTCTACTGGATTTAGAACTAGAACTCGAATACAAACTCATTTCGAGCCCCCATCTATTACTCCACCGTGCCTCCTCATCTTGCTTCACTGTTTTCTTTTTCTTTCATCTTTCATACCTGTTTCTTTATTTTCTTCTATTTTTGTAACTTTTTCTCTGATCTTTCATTCGAACTTAATTTATACCTTTATTTTCTTCTTTTTTTTTCTTTTTTCTTCGTTCTTTCTTTCTAATTTTTCTCTATGTTTTCCTCCCATTATGTCTTCCTTCATTTCATATTTATTCCTTTTTTTATTTTATTATATCCCTGTTGTTTTTTTTTCCTTTTTTCCACTAGTAATGTTTCTTTTTGATATTGAGTTTATTCTTTAGTCTTTGTCATCTTCGATTCGCCCAATATTCTTTCTTTTTCTGTACTTTCTTCTCGCGTTGTATTATTTTACCACTCCCCTATGTTTATCTGCGTGCTTCTTTATACTACTCTTCCTTCTTCTCTTTTCTTTTTCTTTTATTTTTCTCTTCATTCTTTGTTATTTCAGTCTTCATTCGTTTATTCATTTGTCCTCATTTTTTAAATATTTTTTCATGTTTTCAGTTCATTTTATTTCTTTTTTCTAACTTTGATTTTTCTGACCTGTTTTTTCTTTTGTACTAGTTTATACATTTTTTTATTAATTTCATTCATATGTTACTTTTTTTATTGACTTTGTGTTTTTCTTTCATTTTTTTGTTCTTTTCAGAATCCCGTTTCAATTCTTTGGTCTCTTCCTTAACTTTCTTCATATGTTTGGCCTTTTATTGTTCTTTTTTTATTATTATTCTATTTAAATTACTGTTTATTTCAATTTAATTTACCTGTTTCTTGCCATTGATATTCTTTTCGCTTTCCGATATTCATATATCATTTTCTTAATATTTCTTTTCTTTCAGCATTTTCCTTTGTTATGCTTCTTCTTTAATATTTTTCCCATTCGCCATTCTCCTCCCAACTTTTTTTGTCTTTCTCTTTCTTTTCAGTCTCCTTTCTTTTTTTTCTTTTCGCCCAGTCTTAACTCATATTTCCTTCTGTTTTATACTTTTCTTCTTTACTTTCTTCCGCTTTTATTTACTTTGTTTTTTCTTTCCTCATTTTCTTTTCTGATTCTATATCACCTTTTTTTCTTACATTCCTATCGTCTTAAATTCATTCATTCATTCTTCTTCTTCTTCTTCTTCTTCTTCTTCTTCTTCTTCTACTACTACTACTACTACTACTACTTTACTTATATCCAGGAATCTCTTCTTCAGTTTCTTCATCTTTTATAAGCTTAATATTTTCCTATCTTTACGCCATTGTCCTAGAATCTCTTCTTCTTCTTCTTCTCGTTTTGCTTCTTCTTCTTCTTCTTCTTCTTCTTCTTCTTCTTCTTCTTCTTCTTCTTCTTCTTCTTCGTTTTAATTGGCTTAATACTTTTCTACCTTTACGCCATTTTCCTGGAATCTTTTCTTCTTCTTCTTCTTCTTCTCGTTTTTCTTCTTCTTCTTCTTCTTCTTCTTCTTCTTCTTCTTCTTCTTCTTCTTCATTTTAATTGGCTTAATACTTTTCTATCTTTACGCCATTGTCCCAGAATCTCTTCTTTGTCTTCTTCTTTTTTCTTCTTCTTCTTTTTCTCGTTTCGCTTCTTCTTCTTCATTTTAATTGGCTTAATAATTTTCTATCATTACGCCATATCCAGCAAACTTTCCTTCTTCTTTGATTTGCTCACTTCTTTCCTATCTTTACTTCATTCCATCCAGGAATTTCTTCTGTTTCTTCTTCTTCTTTAACTTTCTTCTTCTTTTTTTCTTTGGAAAAAAGAGCTCAGCATTTTTCTTTTTGACCACAAACAACGCTTCTACATGTCGTCGCTTTTCTTCATGGCGCTTTCGTTTGTGTATTTTATTTCAATCATTTCCCTCCTTGGGCAATTTTTATTTTTATACTTTTATCTTTTTCTCTTGTCCTTCGTCCTCGAAGACTGCGAATTATGGCCAGATATATTGTCTTTTCTTCAACTTTAATGTTGTTCTTTTTTTTCCATTGCTTATTTCCTTCCGTTCGCCTTCATCAATTGTGGCTTCCATTTTCACTGTGTCTTTCCCGTTAAAGCACACAGACTGCAGCAAGTCTTCTAAAGGAAAGCATGAAAAATAAATGAAGTCTAGATAATGAAATTAAACAATGAAGCGGACTTGAACATAAAAGAAACAAGGAAACAAAAAACAAAGAATCAAACGCGTTTGTCTTCGTTCGCTGCATACGCCATTTTGATTTTGTTTTTTTAAGTTATATTCTTTATTTACATAACTTTCGTTATTTTCTTTCCCAGTAACATCAGCGGCAAGAGAATGGTACAACAGCTGTTGATGATGATTAAGATAATGCATATTTCAACGACAATTATAAAATGTACGCATAAGGACCATACTAATCAAACTAATAATAATATTTCTTGAGCTC